TTGCAGTATATACAGTACAATATTGCAGTATATACAGTACAGTACTGCAGTATATACACTACAGTACTGCAGAATATACAGTACAGTACTGCAGTATGTACAGTACAATATTGCAGTATATACAGTACAATATTGCAGTATATACAGTACAGTATTGCAGTATTTACAGTATTGCAGTATATACAGTACAGTATTGCAGGATTTACAATACAGTACTGCAATATATATAGTACTGCAGTTTCTACAGTACAATATTGCCGTGTCCTGGGGACACCCTGCCTCTGCTGGGGCCACTCCTGCACTGGGCTCTGCCCTGGGCACCCCAAAGCCTTCCAGGCACCAGGGTACTTCAGCTGAAAGCAGAAGTTGTGAAAATTAATCCTGTGTCTCTAAAGGCTGAAGAATGTTTTAGACCACAGAATATGAAAGTCTATTCTAAGTCTCATATCTTTACAAGGCTGTTTATTCATAGCTAATAACATCAGATTATGCATTAAAAATTTATTTGTTGATTATGCATTATTGCAGGGTATTGGTTTACCCTGAGTTTTATGTTACACTAAAAGTAGTTCTTTCTGCCTGTGGCTAATTCTCTCTGTGTCTCTATAACAAAGGCCATGTTTTTGTATGTTCCTTTCCATCCTTGCAAGTTGCACAGTGGAGAAAATCTTCCTGGTGGCTTTCAAGGTGCTTTCCTGGAGGAAGGATGTTTGTGGCACTGGGTATCTGGTTTCTGTGCCACTGACAGCCACTTTGGCTTTATTTTGTGACTCGAGGCTCTTCACCTCTGCTGTCTTTTTCTCCTTGATTTAATTAGTATTTGTGTTCTGCTTTTGGTTTGTGTTGTACTTAATATTGACAGACTATGTCATTTAATGCAATAATAGTTTCCTTATTCTTCTATCAGAGCTGAAGAAGTCATAAGCTTGTGCATACAAAGGCTGGCAAAAGTTATCTGTGATCCTAAAAATTCCTAAATTAATATACATAACCATTGTGGTTATTACTTAATATTGTGTTCTCATTTCTCAGGGGAGGCTTTGCAGACAGTGTGGTTTCTGTTAAAGGCATTCACTGCCTTTTTATAGTTCATTAGATGCCTTTCTCTGGAAGGAATTGGTTCTTTAAAGCATTAATGACTCCTGGTTATTTGACAGGGGAGCAGCAGAGGGTGCTATGGCATGGCCTGCTTCAAAACAGATCTGAGGATTCCTTGACATTTATCTTAAAATGAGTGGATTGGCATTTTGTCTTTACTTTTCCTTCTCTGATAAAACACCATGAAGCACCTGGACTGCATTGGCTAATAAATGCATTTGTCCTTTAAAAATAATCTCTCCATTTAATAGATGCTTTGGGAAGGAGAAAAAAAACCAAAACAACTTTTATCTTTTTTTTTTTTTATTTTAGCATATCTGAAGAGAGCAGCAGTGTCTCTGCTGGTAAAGGTGTAACAAAAGTCAGCCGCACCTTCAGCTACCTCAGGAATAAAATGTCCAGCAGCAAGAAGAGCAAAGTAAGTGCTACTTGTGATTTGTGGAATGCTCACAGGCAGCAGAGATGGGTTCTGTGTATAAGTCTTTGCCTGAATTTCTTTTTTTTTACTTACTCCCTCCCTTCCTTTTAGTTTTATTTAAAGGATAGGAGTGTCTGTGCGGTGATAGGAACTGGCTCCATGGGAAATCTTAGCACCCCAAAACTGAGCCCAAGGACAACTTAGTGAGGCTCAATAAGGCCAAGTGCTGGGTCCTAGATTTGGGTTACAGTGACAATGCTGGGTCAACAGTTGGACTGGATGATCTTAAAGGTCTCTTCCAGCCTTTATGATTCTATGTTTTCACTTATTTCCCCAGAGAGAATAAATTTTGCCCTGGCATGAGTTAGGCTTTGTAGAGATTAATGAGTTTAATTTTTACAGAACCTGAGAACCTTTAATAAAACAAGGACAGGAGCTGTAAGAAGGGACTGGTTGCCGAAGGCTGTTTTGCCTTCTCATAATTTTTTTACTTTTGCCACAAAGTTCCTGTGCACTACAGGAGAAGTTGCTCAAACAATGATTTTAGTGATGGCCAATATTTATATTTTTCCCTTTTATCCATCCTTGAAACTGTGAAATTTAATTTGCTGTAAGTTAAGCCCTGAATTTCCTGGGAACAGTATTGATTACAGCTGAATTTCCTGGGAACACTATTGATTACAGAAATTATTACATTAATGCTAAATCATTCACACAAATGGGCTGTTGTTGCTTTAGATTGTCCCTTGAAGATTAATATATATTTGGAGATTTTCTTGGCTTGGTTTGGATCTTTTACTTGAATCTCACCTCGATTCATCTGTCTGACAGAAGCTCAGAGCACTTTGCTGTCTTGTTAGGTGATGCGTGGTTAATGTGTTGGTAAATACTGTTGGAAGGCCCTTGAGAGGTGTGATGACACACAAATTCTTGTTATGGATCTGTCTTTCAGGATAGCCACAAGTGGCTCAGAGCTGCTTCTGAGCAGCTTTAGGACAATGCTCTTCTCTGCTGCAAAGTGCAGTGTTGAAAAATTAAATCTGTTTACATAGAAACCTCTGTGCAAACACCAGTGAGAAGTCCAGGAGCATTTTGCACAGACTGTGAGTGGGAATGGAAGTTCATTAACAGGTTCTTGCACCTAATGTGAGTAATCTCTAAAGCAAAACTGAAGAGAGAAGTAAGAGATCTGCTTGGGACAGAAAATATAACTGCAGTGCTTTTAGACACTTGCTCAGTGCAGTTTGATTTCACTAATTTCATGATTGTATCTGAAAATGTTGATAAAGAGTTGCTCCAAAATCCCAGCCCTAACAGACACTACAAAAAGTGCAGCTCATATCAACTCTCATACTTTTATTAAGTAAAAGACAAAATATCATTCAAGTTACAATTTCTTGTCTGCTCATGGTGGAATGTTTGCATTATGTACATTTTTAAGGCTCCACCAGTACATTTAAATAATTTGACCAAAAAATTCGTTGGAACACTGATTTCTCAGAAACATTATAAATGAGAAAAACCTGTAAGAGTTAAACAGAAGCTACAAAAGAAACCTTGAAAGGAGAACTTTGACACAGGAAGTTGGTTTCTGGGCTGCCGGGAGGGAGGGAGGCTTCAATGTCTTTCCAGCTTGGTTTAACTTATCTCCTGACCTTCAGAAATGCAGTTTTCTCAGATGAAATTGAGTAGAATAAAACACATCTGAGTCTTTTGGAAAATAAAGAGAGTTATGTAAAAAAAAAAGTTTAAAAGAAAGGGGTATTTAGAGCACTAACTGGAGGGGATACTGATAGAAGTTGACATGAATTTACCCTTGCCTGGCATGTTATTTTGGGTTATCAGTGAATCTCTTGCCTTTAGCAGAGTGCCCCGATTCACATTTGCAAAGTCTTAAACATGCTCTATCTTTGTCAGTTCAGGAAAAAACCCTCTGTTTTTTTTTTTCATTTTGGTCAAGACTTTCTGAGAAATTACAACAATTAGCATGAGTAATTTCTGGTTTTCGTTGCCTTGCACAGTAATAAGGCAGTGCTGTGCCAGCAGCAGCATTTCAGAGTGTATGGTAGGAGTTGCAAGTGTTTGAAAGGATTAAGAGACAGGGAATATATGTGACCTGCAGAGCAGGAGGAGCTCAAACACACAAAACCTCTCTGTCTGGGCAATTTCTGCAGTGCTTTGTTTGCTGAAGTACTACATAGCAACACTGAGGTATGTGAAAATTCACTTTTTCTGTAGCCCAAACATCACAGAGTGTTTGATTTATTCTGCTCTACCTTTCAAAAAGGTGGTCTTATATTGACTCGTAAAACATTAATCACATCCTTTTCTACCTGTATGGGTGTGGTTTTTAGTTTTATATTTTTTTAGCAGTGGAAGCTAAGGTAGAGCAAGATGAAAGCAACACAAAATAGCTAAAATCATCTTTAAGGAAGTCAGCAATGGTCCTGCCCCTCCTCCTTTTTGCACAACTGCTCCTGTCCCTGGCCCTGCCGCAGCCTCCGGCATCGCCATGGGCTAGCGGGGAGCAGCTCCTGCTGCGGAGCAGCTCCTGCCCAGGGCAAGGATGTCCATAAAGTGGAATAGATTCTCAGAAGTACCTCAGATAACAGTGAAGCTGGTGGGCCTGAAGCACTGGGAGGTAAGAGCTGCGTGGTTCCTGGGGAGTGGGATCCTCTGCTGCAGTGGCTGCTCTGGCACATCGCTTCAGCCACGAAGCCGGGCTCCAAATCTCACTGGCAGCTCCAACAGCACAAATATAGTCTTGTTCCTACAATCCTTCTTTAAATAAAGTTCCAGTAACTGCTGCAGGAAAAAAGAAAAAGCTGAAAAAAATGTCATTGTGAGACTTTGTCCTTAAGAGGAGTGGCTGGCAACCCTTGTGTGGAGTTTGCTGTTTCCTTTTTGAAAGTGGTGCACCAATTTCCTGTTTTTCCTGAGGCTTTATATGAAATTAAAATTAGACTTCAGAATTGCTGGGCTTTGCAGTGAACTTCAGGTAGATTTAAATTATAGGATGGGAAATCTCCTTTCAGCATGAGAGTCAAAAGATTTGGCTTGAGCTTAGAGTGATCTTTTCTCCTGGAGCTTCACAAGGCTTGGAAGTAGAGCAAAACTCCAGGCATCAACTTGGTACCATCAGCCCAGACCTAAATTGCAGAGTTTAAGTTCCTGAACCCTCCCAGGCTGGATATGGTTAAAGATGGTCAGGTCAGTGGGTGGAAAATGGGGCTGTGGAGGTTCCTGTGGGGTGGTGTGAGCCAAGCTGATGGCTCAGAGGAGGCGGAGATGTGACGCAATGCAGACTTCTTTTCTGGCAGCTTTTCTGCTTCAGACAGGATTATTCCATATGGTAATACTCCTAGTTTTGCTTATTTGCAGAACAAAACAGTGTTTGGGGCCAGTTAATAGACTTTCTGTTTGACACTTTGCAGAGAGAGACTCAGGCACTGGCATTTTGCCTGGGATGTGGTGGGAGAGGAGTCCTTAGGCTGTTCCTGATGGTGTGAGTGTGTCATCCAGGGCTCAACAGTTTCCCTGCAGTGCCTGCAGAGCTCCATCCCTCTTTAAGCCACTTCATGGCAGTTGCTCACGTGGGCAGCTCTGCAGCTCCCTGATATTCAGGCTGGGACAGTAACAAATAACAAAGTGCAAAGATAACAAAATGAATAACAAAATGCAAAGATAAGCTGACACAAGCCTTTACCAGTTTCTGGTAAAGATTCTCCTTCAGATGCCAGGAAATCTGCAGCAACAGTCAAAAGTACAGACCTGGAGCTGACTCGTGTCATAAACATTTTGGGAGTTGGTACATGGAAAGACAAGGAGTTGTTGTAATTCAAATTCAGCATTTTTCTGTGGAGTTTCCTTTAAAATTTGTTTGGAAGAATTCCAAATTCATGAAAGGCTGCAGGGGAAAATGTTTCAGATTTTTAATATTTAGTATTTTCTTTCTAAAGTAGAGACAGAAAAGAAGCAAAAACTCTCCTCAAAGTTGGAGAAGCTGTCTGTGCTTGTCATCTTTCCAAAGCTGAGTAGCCTAGAGGTTGAGTCGTGGCCTGTGGAAGATGAGAGGCTCTTTTATGGTGTTGCTGTTGTTCCCCAGCCTTTGTTTGGTGCCATAGGTCGAGAGTTTGTAGAAGATCCATTTGCCGAAAAGCTTCACAGAGTTACTTGGGGTTGCATGTAACTGTTGAAAAAGTTGCTAGTTGGAAGGAAAACAGAGGTGGAAATATTTTGGCAGTAAGGCTGTGGAGGCACTGAGGAAGAGCTTGTGTTCTCCATTAGAAATGCAGTTGAAAATCACGAGCCTTATGGTTTGGCCTTAAAAATTAGCTGTGTTGAAAGTCTGATACACACTGCACGTGGTATTTATATTTAACAAAATTTATTTAAAGTGCTGAAGAGGGGTAAAGTCATTAAGCCAAGCAAGTATGAAACAAAGGTAGAAGGAACTAAGTGCCTTCAGAACAGACTCGGTGTCGTGTGCAGTGGTGAGACACCTGTGTGAGTCAGTGGTATGTAAATCCACTTCCCCAGGGGCTTTTTTCAGGGAGAGCTGTGCAGACACATGGCCATTGTTCAGGTGCACCTCGATCGATACCCTCACTGTGCCGAAGGCAAACACTGAGCAATCTGTAACTGGGGGACAGACCTCTGCCAGTGACGAGGCTCTGGGTCACTCTGTCTCGGCAGGAAAAAGAGAAAGATAAAGAGAAGACTAAAGAGAAGGACAAAGATTCCAAGGAGAAGGAAAAAGATAAGAAGCTGTTGAATGGACATCTCTTCACTGCAACCTCTGTTGTAGCCCAAGCAACCTGTTACCACTGTATGAAGCCTTTCAATAAGGATTCGTACTACTGTGCAAGTAAGTCAGGGGGGGTTCCCCCCGTTCCTTTTATTCTTCATTGAATCTGGCATGGAAAATGCAAACCTTACACTTTATTTTCCTTTTGCTTGAGGATGTGAGGTGGGAGGGAGGCTTTGGAGGTAATGATTCATGGAGCGGCGTGTTGCCTTGTGGAAACTGGACTGAAATGAGTCGTGGCTGCATGGAGGTGTCCTAAAAACCTCTTTCCTAAGCCTGAGCTCGGCCATCACACAGGCCATGGGGTTTTCTACCCCTTGTTGGGCTCTACCAGTCAGGAGAACGTTGCTTATTTCAGCTGCATGTAGTGGCTTGGAGCTGAGGTCCTTTGATAAGATGGACAAAGGACAGGGACAGCAGGCTTGGCTCATGGCTTCTTTGTACAATGGGGGAAAAAAAGTCCCTCCTGTATGTGGTGTATTGCTTTAGTTCTCTGAAATACTGCTTCGGTGAGCCCACAGTGGGAACCACATGGTACGAAAAGGAAATGCTGACCCTCTGCTCCCTTTGAAAAAGAAATTGCATCACAGGTCAAATGACAGATACCTGTGTGCATGTGAAGAACGTGCAGCACAGGACAGGCAGAGTGGGAACCTCACTGAGGGTTTCTCATAGATTAGGGATTTTGTTCTCATTTCTTATCAGACAGTTTCCCCTGCCTGCAGCTCGATAAGGTCAGTGGTTTTTGTGTGGTCAACACCACAGTGCTGCTTCATGCAGCAACCCAAAGCTATAGAACATGCAGACAAAACCTATTTTTTTCCCCACTATAGCTCAGTGAAAAAGGCTTTCCTCTCCTCAGTATTAGTAGTTTTTTACTCCACTAGTTTAGAAATGAGTCAAAGCGAGTGCGGGAGCTGCTCCCAGGCTGGAGCCTTCCGTTGCTGCTGGTGGATGTGAGCAGGAGGAGGAACAGCCAGCTGAATCCCAAATGGCACTTCTGAGTTTCCTGGAAGAGATTTCAGCAGAGTTGTTTGTCTGAGACACACTCTGTGTCAGCCTGATGGGAAATGTAAAACATCAACAATTACAAACTCTCAAATGCATCCTCTCCCTTTCCCCTCTTGGCTTTGTTAACAGCTCCTGAAGCCGCGTAGAACACCAAATATATCCCAGTTTAATGCTCTATATGCTAATGAGATAAAATAACCCAGCAGTATTGCATGTTTTAGCACAGATGTTCTTTCCTTGTTTTCAAGACACAATGCAAAATTGTTTCATGTTTTCTGCATTGGCCAGGAAATAAATGTCATAAAAAAATGGTGAAGGCCTATGTTGAGAGCTCACATCAGTGAGTGGTTCCTTCTCTCATTGCATCTAAAAATCAGCCTCAGATGCTTTGGAAATGATGGATGAGCAGCAGCAGAGGCTCTGATCCTCCTGTGCTGATGTTGGCTGGTGCTACCACCACTGCTCTGTCTCACCTATGGATGACTTTTAATGCCTTTTAAAGCACTGGGTATTTTAAATCAATGTCTCAGCTTTTCAGTTATGCCCCCCCAGCTTCCTGAAACATCTACTCTATGCTGAAAGATTTTGCATGCTCTGAAACAAATGGGCAAGCAAAAGACCCTGATTTTTAGTAGCATTCTGCTTTGTCTTTTTTACTTTTTTTTTGATCAGTGATGCAGAAAATAAGGTTTTGGGGGTTGTAGTTATTAATACTAGTGACACACAGGAGTTAGAGGAACTTCTCTCTTGCTGAAGAGTTGAATTGGAGAAATAAAGTCCCTACAACCAGATTTTTTAACATGAAATAACATGAAAAATTCCTTTTTTTTGCCAAATGGTGCACACTAAAGAGCTGTCTTCAGGCTTTCAAGGCTTGAGTGTGAATTTCATGATTCTGAATTGTCTCACTGCCTCTGTTCATGCACCAGAGGAGCAGGTTCTGTTCCTCTTTCTTGTTTGGTCGTCAAGTTTACATCACTTGTGGGTTTTTGCAAGAGTTTTTCAGGTTGCTTTGTTCTGTCTTCTTGTACACAGGAAATTGTGAGACATTGTCAGAATAGCAGCACCCAATGACCTTACACTCATATCTGTCAAAATGTCAGAATTACTGGCTTTTGTTGAGTCATCCCAAATGTAAGAGATGCTACAAGTGTGAGCATATTTTGTCATTCTGGACATAGAATTTTTTCGTTTTTTCTACTTCAAGAAATAATTCAGAACTTCATACTTATTTGTAAAATACAGCTCATTATCTGTGTTAGTGTTGTCATGAATAAGTGGAAATGTTTTTTTCTAAGCTACTGAATCTCCTCTTGAGCTGTGATCTTTCATCTGCCAAAAGAGTTAAAGCCTGAAACCCATTTCTCAATTCTTATTGGAAAAAAAAAAAAAAGGGAGTTTTAATCATCTTTAAAAATTTGATTCCCAGAAATCTGCTGGCAGAAGTCATGAGCAGATTCAGGGTATTCAAAAAAACAAAAAAGCAAACCAAAAAGCCAAGCCACTCAGCTTTTGCTGTGGCATACCTGCAGCAAATTTAAAGCATGATGGTCTTTGCATTGGTGAATGTGATGCTTTTGGACCAAAAGTTCAGTTTCCAGCAGGAAGTCCCAGCCTCAAGGATTCCTGACAGATGCTGCTCCTGTTACCTTTTCTGGTAACCCTGCAGTACAGCAGCACTTGGATTCTGTGCCATAGATCTTATCCATGGTGTCTAAATTTATGTAAATTAATTTCTCCATCCTCCTCCTGTCTTTTTGATCTCATAGTCCTTGTCTTGATGAGAACAGTATTTATCTTTTCAGAGAAATACTGGCCCTACAATTGGTTCCTGTTTCTGTCTCCTGCTTGTGCTTTCCACTTTACTTTCAGAGGGATAATGCCATCAGGGGTTTTTTTTTTCCTTTTTTTTTCTTTAATCTAAGACCCCTGACAATTCAACCTTGCATTGATTCTTAAACAGAACTTCCTGTTAAATTATCTGAGGAAATGTTATTAACAAAATGCTAATTTTCCTGGAAAACAGCTTCTCTCTCAGCTAGTCATGCAAACCACAATGATGCCTAAAAGTTACAATTCTCAGTTGTGTAAGTTAACATTTCAGATTTCAAACAGCAAAAACTGACCTATTTTCTGTGGGGTTTTGTTTAATTAATTGGGGTTTTTTTGGTTTTTTTTTTTTTTTGACAGACTGTAATGCAATTGTTCATAAAGGCTGTAAGGAAAGTTTTGCTTCTTGTGCAAAGGTCAAAATGAAGGTAAGGGTTTTCACCTACTCTACAGAATATATATATATATGTATATAAAAAACACTTTCTGCTGCATGTCACAAAGTTTCCAGTTTGTTGTAAAGAACTTCAGCCCCAGTGCTGAAGCTTTCACATAATGAAAACTTAAATATACTGTTTATATGAGGAACACACAGGTTTCATTGCTTGCCCCAAATGCAAGGAACCCGCTTCTCCAGGCTAAGCCATGTTTGTGCAATTATGATTTCAGTTCTCTTCAGTATTGTCATCACTTTCACATTTTCATATTTGCTGCACATTTGTCCATCTGTTATTTTGCTCACTTCATTCAGAGAAAATAAAAATATATTTAAAAATACATGTACACTGAGAGGCTTCAGGAAAAAAAATAGCTTTTTTTGTTTTAGTTACATGTCACAACCTTCTGGGAGAAGGGATGAAGAAATTAAAGTGAATTTCATTTTTCTTTCAGCCACAGAGAGGGATGCTGCAGGCACATGATACCTCTTCATTACCCACAGTAACCATGAGAAACAAAAGTAAGATAATTTCTTTCCCTCTGCTTTGGGAGTGGTCTGTGTCTGCTGTTCTTAACTGTTCTGACAACTGATACTTGACATTATGAAAAATAAGGTTTTAACAGAGCAGGAATGAGAGCATCCTCTGGGCATGCTAAGCAATATTTGAGATTTCAGAAGTTGTACAGAAGTTGTACAGAATTCATCCCCTTCTGCAGTGTCTGTGTAGCTCTAAGGAAATGTAAAATCATCTTAGATTTAGAAAAATCACGTGTCGTAGCTTGCTGAATGCCTATACCTGTTAAGGCCACAAAATTTGGAAGATGCAGCCTGTGTCCATGGGTGTCTGACATGGGAAAGAATCCAGCTATGAATATTAAGTGGAGAGGATTTAAAACACAATTATCTTTTGTTTAAATAGTCTTGGGCTTTGAGATAGGCAAAAGAGAAATTATAATTTTGAGTAGGAGGAATACTGACAAACTGTTCCTGACTTTGCTGAGATAAACACTGCACTGCAGAGTGACCAACTGTCACCAAGGCTGAAGAATAGGTGTGAAATGGCCCAGACTGGTTTTGTTAGGGCCATGATTTGATAAGTTTAAGTTAATAAGCTTTGATCAGACAAATGATAGCTTGTATGGAGCCACACTGTATAATACAGTTGTAATCACTGTGGTATTTATTATGAAGTTCAGAGGTGTTGCTCCAGATAGCAGAAATGCATCTGAAGAAGGAAGAATCTAGAATTAATATGAACAAATTATCTAGAGGTATGTGATGGTATAATGAAATCAGGATTATCATTTCTCTGTGGTACCTATTGATAAAAGAAACCCATCTCAAAGAGTTTGACATCAAGGTCAAAGGTTATATGACTGTGTGCCCAGGGAAATAAAAAGGCAACAGGGTGGATTGTGACATAGGGTTAATTATCAAAACAGTTAAATTCAGTCTCTGGAGTTGCAGATCCCACCTGGGTAATTCAAGCACAGTGCAGTGAGTTCTGCTCAAGGGTCAATGGGCTTCCCTTCCTATGGCTGTTCCTAACTGCTGACACCCCTTGCGGGTGATTCTAGAAAGAAAAGGCAGTGAATTTCCGAGTGTGGATCCTTTTAAGTCGTCCCCATGCCAGGGAGCAGTGGTTAAGGTGTTTGCATGGGCCGACTGTTGTCCCTCCCTCCCATTGCAGGCTCGCAGCCCAAGGAGCGCCCGCGCTCCGCAATCCTCGCGCCCGACGAGAGCTCCGTCACCTCCAGCTTCTGCAACAGGAGATCGCAGCAGCCCTCTGCGCTCTCCAAAAGTGTCTCCATACAGAACATTGCAGGGTAAGGCTCCTCCCTGCACACCTGACCATAAGTGTGCGTGTTATCTGATGCTGCTGATGTAAAGACAGAATTTCAGTTTCACTAAAAATAAGTTCACGTGCTGTGACTTGCGTTAAAGGTACAAACGGGATCACAAACAGAGAAATAGCTATGTTCTGTATGATACCATCAGTTGTCTTCTGCACAATCTTATGTGAGTTAGTTTAGTCATGGCAGGAGTTCAGAGGCACAGCTGAGTTTGCCCGGCAGATTCAAGGCCACTTCCCAGGGATGCTCTGGGCTCCTAGGAAGGAATTCCTTTACCTTGGGCCAGATGCTGTGCAAGCACACATTTGCAGGTCAGGTATAATATTAACTTTTGTGTCCATAACAAGAGGGTGAAGGCACAGAGCTGCAGTCTTCCTGTTTTTAGACTGCATTATACATGATACATTACAAAAAACATAGAAGAAAATCTAATTTATGGTTCCTACCGTACTTGCATATTGAGCAGTTCTACATGTGGGGCAGGGACTGGCTTATTCTGGGCAATTTGGATGTCCTGGCTATTCATAGGGAATTTAATTTCAGTCCATTTTCTGATCTTTCCCAGGGCTAGTGATAAGGATTCTTGTAGAGCCTTTGGTGTGGTGTTTTTTCGCACTGTTTGCTCCAAGGGCAATGAGGATGGGACGTGACTGGAATGGAGTTGTCCCAACTATAAAAGCTCAGGAGTGGTTCTTTATGGAAAGCACCGTCACTCACAACTATAGCACTTACAGCTTCTCAAGCTCCAGTGGGTAGTTAGTAAACAACACATAAAAGCACATTTCTGTACATAACCGTGCAGTGCTAGCTTTGTTTTTCAATTCATATTTTAAATGCATTTATTCTGCTTATCTGAAAGTACATTTGGCTGGGTTTTTGTCATAAACAATATTGTGTGTTCTGTTTTTCTGCAGAGTTGGGAACGATGACAGCTTAATACACACTTGGAAATTCCTGTCGCAGTCAACAGACTCTTTACATAAAATCAGCCGGGTTAATGAATCCATGGAGTCACTGGTTGATGAAGGTAAGAGATCTCCATGGCATTTATAGGAGAAGGAAGGTCTCAGTTCTGCTTTCCAGAAATAGAAAATCCATTTTCAGCAATTGTCTTCTTTTATAATGGACAATTAAAGTGCATTTATTTTAATCTCAGAATATTAGTTTGATAAACTAAAACAAAGCCCCACATAGTAATTTCTTTAGCTCATTGAATTATGGAAAAACATTTAGAAGGTTTCAGTTACAGTTGAGTTACTTGGAATTTAGCTCAGGGACAAACATTTCCTCTTCTCTTGTGGTTTTTTATTTAACTGCAATGTCGTTTCACAGCAGATTAGGAATACATTATCTGAGCTAGAATTTGGTCCATGTGAAAATGGTGAACAGGAAACTAGGAAATAACCTTTAAAAGTGTTTTTCATAACTACTCTTTATGTGGTATATGATCATTTGTGTCAGTAAAGGAGAATGTGTGTGATGTCCGTGGTGTGACTGACAAAGCCTAAACGTAAATGATTAGGCAGGAATCTCAAATGAGACAAATTACCCACATTTTAATGGCACTTCTATTACTTGGTGAAGGTGCAGACATGAATGAAGGACAGCTCATGGGAGACCTGGAATTAGATTCCAAGCAGCTGGAGGCAGAGTCCTGGAGCCAAGCAGTGGACAGCAAGTTCCTACAGCAGCAACACAAGGATGTTGTGAAACGGCAAGATGTGATTTATGGTGAGACATCTTCACTTTTTACTCACTGTAAACAGTTCCCTGATAGGAACACTGCTTTGGTTTCCTCAAAAGCCAAACTTTAATTCTTGAAGCTCCTAGGAATGTAATTATTCTGTGAAAGGTGTCTTTCTGCATTTCACATATCCAGAAGCCATCAAAGCCCCAGAAATTGCCTCTCCTCATTTGTCGGTGTTGACTTTCAAACTGGGTTCTACCACAAGCAGCTAGCTACGAAGTCTTTTCCTGAGGGATTCAGGAGCCATCCTGTATGAAAAAAGGGGGATGTGTGGAGGCTGGCAGTGAGGTGTTAGGAAGGAGAAGATACCAGGGCTGAAGGTTGAGACCCCAGCAGCAACATCCAAAGCTCTCTGCTGGGATGCCTCTCCCCCTCTGTTTCTCTCACACATGAAACTATTGACTAATGTTACAATTCCTGGCATGAAATTTTTTTGACACAACTTAGAGAAGCCCAGTTATGGCAAAGCTTTCTAATGGCAGCTTTTCCTTGTGCTCTAATCCATGAACTCTTGTCCTCATCCCATGCAGAGCTAATGCAGACAGAAATGCACCACGTCCGCACCCTGAAGATCATGAATGATGTGTACAGTGCAGCCATGCTGAAGGAACTGCAGTTTGAGCAGCAAGCAGTGGACAAGCTCTTTCCCTGCCTGGAAAACTTGCTGCACATCCACAGTCAGTTTTTCCAGCGGATTCTGGAAAGGAAGAAGGAGTCACTGGCAGACAAAAGTGAAAAGAACTTTGTTATCAGGAGGATAGGTGACATCCTAGTGAATCAAGTAAGTGCTGGAAAATGTTTGCAGTTCTGAGAGCACAGCTGGAAGCCAGATGCTTTTCCTTCCCTCCTGTTTCTGCCTGTCAGATAAGCACAGCTGATGGCACCTTTACTTTTCACACATAAAAATCTCCACCTCTGCTTTTTGAAGCACTGTTTGCTCTTTCAGAGGAAGGTCTACTGTTGAAAATTAATTTACTTCATTTTGTGGGAAAGAGAAGCATTCACTGACAGGCACAAAACAGTTTGACCACAGACTGGAGTGTAGGCAGGAGCTCACAGCTAAATATGCCCAGTGTGTTTCTTGGCTGCATTACTGACCTGGTGTTTAACTCAGAATGGATCATTTTACTTTTCTTTATCCACAGTTTCTATCTTCTTTTTGTCTGTTTTGACTCTTTTTGTGGCTGGCTTTTAAGTCATGGGAGTAGAGTTGCAAATTTTGCTGTAGTGACTCAGTGAAGTCCCCAAATCAGCTCTTTACTCTCTAGAGATCTGCTTGCATGGTCGAGCATGCTTTGGACTAATTTGATTTCCCCAAGTTCTTCTGAGAGCCTGGCAGGCACTGCTGGGATGTCACCCCAGGAGTTGAGTGCAGGCTGGAGCTGAGTGTCCCTTTCTTTGCAGTTCTCTGGGGAGAACGCTGAGCGGATGAAGAAAACATACGGCAAATTCTGCGGGCACCACAACGAGGCTGTCAATTACTTCAAAGATCTTTACACCAAGGACAAGCGCTTTCAGGCATTTGTCAAGGTAGGACCTGGAAGGACAGATGTACCCAATGGAAAAGACGTGTCCTTTCTGCACTCTGGGGGAGTGTTTTGCTGCAGAACTGAAATTTTCTTCTTTGTTCCTTAGAAAAAAATGAGCAGCTCCCTGGTGAGGCGCCTTGGGATTCCTGAATGTATCTTGTTGGTTACACAGAGAATCACAAAGTACCCGGTCCTTTTGCAAAGGATACTGCAGTACACCAAAGGTAGGGACCAGCTCCTCTATTCTAAGCACATATTTGTTTGTCCAGTGTGAAGTTTTAATCCTTTACAGCTGAAGCAGATTTTTTTACCAGCTAATCCAGTCCTTGTTGTCTCAAATCACTGCAAAGAGATAACTGAATTCAATACTTCCACTTAGGATTAGTTGTTTAGGACCTTGATTTAGTTGTTAAAAGTCTGTCTGTAGCTAATTATGGAGCAACATGCCTAGACTCCAAAGTCTCCTAGCTTGCTTTTTTAGGTATTAGCTAAAATATGTAGTTAATTTGTGCATTTCATCTCTACTGTCTTATATGCAAAGTGTATTGGAATATTCTCCAGTCTCAATCATGTATATGTAAAGGGTTTTGTGAAGCTCTCTTTAAGGGGGAAAAATGTCTCATTTAAGTATTAAAAGTTATAATGTGGGAACTTGGGAGAAGAGGAAGGAAGGAAGTAAAAGTGGGAAGTTAGATTGCACAAAGTCAAATCGAGATGTTTCTGTTTCTTTTTTAAAGAAAATGAAGTGGAGCATGAAGACTTGACTCAGTCGTTAAACCTTGTTAAAGATGTGATTGCTGCAGTCAACAGCAAAGTCAGCAAGTATGAAAAGAAAAAGCGTCTTGGGGAGATTTACAACCGGACGGACAGCAAGTCCATCATGAGGATGAAGAGTGGCCAGATGTTTGCAAGAGAGGACTTGACGCATCGGAAACTCATCCGAGATGGGCCTGTTTCACTAAAGAACTCAGCTGGCCGGTTAAAAGGTAAGACTCTCCTGCCTTCTGCTGAGGAAGGATGCAGCTCACCCTCTCTGGATGTAAGATTAATCCTCAGACTGGTGCCTCCACCCTTGATTTATTCTTCTGCCTTGATAGATTGTGACACCAGCTTTCCCCTGCTGTACCCCCACTCCCCATTGCATTTCCAATTCCTCGTGTGTGTTCTGGGGTGGTAGAGAGCTGCTTTTCCTCCTGGTGACTGCGTGCCTGCTGAGGGCCCAGGTGGCAGTGACACCTCAGTGTGTCACTGACTTGCTGAGGGATGCTCTGGGCCAGGAGGACACGATGGGGCTGCAGTTGCCCAAAGCATGGAGTCAGATCTCCATGCCTGTGCCACGGTTCCAGGAGTTGTGCTGGCTAAATCTGGAACCCAGCCTCAACTTTCTGGGCCTTTCCTTCCCTCTGAGGGCTGTGGCATGTCTGCAGCAGTACCATCCCAGTTGCACTGGGATCCAGGGAGATGTCCCAGGGATTTGTTGCTCTTGAATCTCTTAAGCTGTTGACACAAACTGTTCAGGAGAGGCTATGGTGTCCCTGCAGCTGCCTCTTGTTGGGTCAGTGTTTTCTTGAGTTGCTTTTTGTTAGTTATCAGGTGGAAGTAGTTTTTTTAAGGTGCTGTGCACTGAAGTCCTCCAGTGAGTTAAAAGCTAAATCTCCCAAGGAAACTTTCATCTAGGACCACAGTAGCAGTAAGAGCAGACAGAGCTGTGCCTCAGGCCTGGCAGGAAGGCTGGGCTTCCCTTCCTCCCTGCAGCATAAGCTGATTAAATATGATCTGTGGGCATGAATGGGGCCTGTGCAGGGAGGTGATGATAACGTGGAATTCTGTATGGGGTATGATTTATTTTGAGGTTTTGGCAGCAGGAAGTTTACAGATGATTTCTAGGCACCCGAGACTGCTACTGCCTTCAGATGGTGGATGAAGCAAGTTCTGCTGCTGTTGTGAAATCGTGATAAGCACAGGCTCCATTTGCATTTCTTAATCATAGAAATGCACAAACATGTCCGTAGTGCAGACTCCCAGGGAAGGCAGGTTCTGCAGGCAGGCTGCAGAAAAAGGGAGAGAGTAGATCGTTCATATCTTCAGGTTATTTTGTGGTATTTGAAATGCAGCACCAAAAATTATAGGAAGAACTTTTGTTTAAGAGTTTTAGCATTTCCACTCTTGCAAAGTGCATGGAACAGAGAAAAAGGCAGTCAAATGCCACCTTCTGCAAATCTCCCAGAGCCTGGATTTAGTTTTGCAGCTTTGCTTAAAGTTTAGTAGTTCTTTTATCTGGAATGGATTCTGTCTTCCCAAAACAGACTGGAAGGATTTACCCATGGGATGATTTAAGTTTCTGGTTTGCTTCCTCTCTGTCACAAGATTTCCCAAGTACATTACACAAAACCTCTTTGTACTGAGGGGTCTGGGTGGGGCATTACACTGGGTAGTTGCTGTGCAGCTTTATGATATGTTATTAGGAGACTTGGAAGGCTCTACGTGTACTCTGGGAAAAGACTGATTTAAAACCCTCTGTTGGCTTGAGGTTGTGTTTCCTTCTCCCGTGAAAGAAAGCCAGGTCCTGTGTCTCATGCAGGCTCCCCTCAGAGCTGTGTTTGTCTGAGAGCAGAATTACTGGTGGCTCCTGAAGTCAGTATTTCCTGGGAAAGAAACTGCAGCTGACAAATGTTGTTATTGCACGATAATTTACACCCTGCAAACCACTCATCAAGAGAACCATAAAATCCAAAACTTCCCGTGCAGATATTTTGCTTGAGGGCTGAAATATTGATTGTTTGAGAAAACAGAGCTTCTATTGAATAAATGTTTCTGGCTTTCACTGTTATGCCCATGTCTTAACTGGTAGTGAGCATGTGGCTGGAGAGGAGCACCCCTGCTCCCATGGGTGAGAGCAAATCCTGCAGGATGCCCTGGTGCTGATGTGTCCTGCTTCATGCAAAGCTGGTTCAGAGCTAACCTGATCTGGCACCTCCAGGAACTGCCCTTGCTCCTTCTGCCAGCTGGGAGGTTGCTCTTGCTTTCAGGATTTGCAGAACCAGCCCTGCTGCTCACCAGCACTGGTGTTATTGCAAGAAATCTTTTCTGGGGTGAATTGTGTGGTTATACTGCAGTGGTGTGCTTCTTCTTTTGCAGAAGTCCAGGCTGTTCTCCTCTCTGACATGCTCGTGTTCCTTCAGGAGAAGGACCAGAAGTATGTCTTTGCCTCACTGGTAAGGCTTCAGCCCTTTTTTCCTCCTTACTTTTCTGTGTGAGAGACCCATAATGTTGTGTTGTGCAGCAAAGCCAGCAATTGCCTGCTAAACAACCTAATTTTCTTGCTCAGAACATTTTTGTTTGCTGAGCAGACTCCATTCTTTTTGATGGGAAAACACGTCCTCATGCCCCACCTCCCCTTCCTGCTGTGCCTTGGCACAGCTGTTAATTGGCCTTGAAAACCTGCCTGTCACTGAAAACACTTGTGCTTTGCAGTTTGTGCACACTGGAGCAGTGACTGGGCTGGGAGAGAGTGAGGGGATAATGCAAACTTTGTAAAAATGAACCTCAGCTGGAAGAAATGTCCAAGTGCATCGTGAGCTGCTGCAGGGGGCAGTGAGGTGAAATGCCAGGGCAGTAACTTCAACACAACAGCTTGAAAATAAATGAGAAATAGATTTGTAATGTGCAGGAGCAAAAACATTAGGTTTGAGGGCAGGCCCCCAAAAAGGGCTGGGCACATTGACCTGCTAAAGAAAACCTGGTGCCTGATGGAGTCTGCTGGGCTGTACCTTCCAGGCATGGTCTAGACTGGCTAAACCCTGTGACCTTTCTACTCTTTGAGCATTTTGAAAGCTGATAATTTGTTATTCCAGTTCCACCAACCCTCTGCATGGGCTCAGTGCCCTACACAGGAGAAGCTGGTTTGCATCAAGTCCTGCTGGTGAACGAGATCACCCCAGCTGCAGCGTGTGGTACAATGCACAAAGGGGCTGGCTCCTGTGCAGATGACACAGCAGCCTGGGGACACTGTAACCCAGCAGGCTGATGACACAGAGACCTAGCACACGGTGAACACCACCTCACACACAGGTTCTGACACAGCAGTCAGCTGTGAGCGTCTGAGAGCAGCAGGGGTTTTGTGGGATTTGGAAACAAGACTTTATCCTGGAGAGAGATGGTGAAGACACTGTGTGTGAAGCAGGCTAGCAAGCTGCACCAAGTGTAAGCAGCTGTGATATTGATGACAGGAAGAGTGTGGTCAGTAGAAAATGAGATCAGAGCAAAATATGGTACAGTGTACAAAACCACAAAGTCAATTTAAAATTAATTCTTTCTTGAAATGAAATGAAGTAAAATTGCTTTTCCTGCATAACTCCTGGAGGAAAGCAAGCCCATCCCTTTTGTTTGACCCCATTTAAATGATTTTGTTTTTTAAATAACCAATATGTTCAGAAAATGTTTGCAAACCTGAGAGATGTAGCACTATGGTTTATTGAGACCTTTTCAACGCTAGTTTGAATCTGGGAGCTAGCTCTGGTCCCCTTCCTCACCCATTTCTTTCCATCTGAAGGACCAGAGATCCACTGTGATCTCTCTGAAGAAGCTGATTGTACGAGAAGTGGCTCATGAAGAGAAGGGTTTGTTCCTGATCAGCATGGTTGGGAAGGATCCTGAGATGGTGGAAGTCCATGCCAGCTCCAAGGAAGAGCGCAACGGCTGGATACAGATCATTCAGGACACAATGCACACCATGTAAGGCATTCAGCCATTCTTGTGGGGCAGGGGGTACACTGGGTGTGTTCCTGTAGTAATTGAGCTGTGTCTCCTGTCCAGGGATAGAGATGAAGATGAAGGAGTCCCTTGTGAGTCTGAGGTTGAGAAGAAATTGTCTGATGCGAAAGTGAGAGGACTGAAAGGTAAAATCTGCCTGGAACAGAGCTGGGGGGCCACTGTGGAAAAATGTATGGGAGTTTCTTGGATTAGGTTTTGTGGTTGAAGTGTGACTTTTTTCAATCCTGCATCCAGCAAATAACTGCAGTCCTGGTTTGCAGATTGCCTTCCTTGCATTATTTATTTTCCGAGCCTGCTGTGCCAGATTGCCCAGGGCACTGTCGGGCTGCCAAGTCCAGCACGTATTGTCATGCTCCACTAGATGGGGCCAATATCTCAGGAATAGCTCAGGTTTCCTTGCCAAAGCTTTTATTTTGTCTTCATCTCTGTTTTCTGTTCACCCCCACAGAACAACTTCAGCAGAAGGACAAACAGATCCTGCTCTTGCTGGAGGAGAAGACGAAGATCTTCCAGGACATGGCAGACTGTTCTGTGCAGGAGGAGACACAAGGCTCCAGGCAGCTCTTCAGAGCCTGCACAGAAGAGGCTCCAAAAGGAGAGGAAATCATGAAATCAGCAATAAATGAAGGTGAGCCAGTCACGTGGCATGTAAATTATACTAACCAACTATAATTGGTTACTATCAGTGAAGGCATCATTTCTCAAGCACCAGTTTTGGAGGGAACATCTTCTCTTTGTCAGAATAACAAGATAAGGACAAACTCCTCCTCATGGTATTGTCTCAGGGACAGATCATGAGGATCAGGAAAGGAAGCAGGTATTGCAGAGGTGTTGAAAGAGGGCAGGGAAGTCAGCACAAATAAAACCATGCATTGAACCTGCTTTGGGGTCAGGAGCAGCATGGGATTTATCCTTGGCTGAAATTTCAACCATCCAGGCTTTTGCTATTCTTCAGTCTCAGCAAGATGTGAGGGTGGGGTTGGGTTCCAGCAGGAGCTTGTGATGCCTGCAAGGGACAAGCAGTTCTGTTGACAAGGGCAAGGGTAGGTGGAAACTCAGGCTACTTTCCAGTATGATCTTTGGAGAGGCTAAAATTATTAAATGCTGTTGTCAGAGAACACTGAGGTTGCCTGAAGAAAGAGAGGGAGGTGTAAGGTTTTTGCAGAGCTCCAAGAGTTGGAGTTAGTGGTCAGACTGAGTTTTTGCAGGGGCAATGTGTACTGTTCACATCATTGTCACAGAAACCGAGATTCTTTGTACACCACATAATTTCTGGCATGAGCTGAGGCAGGGATGAAAATAGCTCAGAAACCTGAGGTGGGCTTTGTTAAAGACATTGCTGCTTTTTATCAGTTGAAGTGCTGCAACACCTGGTGAGCAGGAGCCTGGGCACTGCCCTTGGACAGCAGGTCAGCAGCACTGCCATGGACCAGGAGGGAGGAGTTGGCCCCATCTCACTCCCTAGAAGGGCAGAAACTTTTGGAGGATTTGACAGTCATCAGATGAACGCCTCCAAGGGTGAGTAGTTCTGTGTGTGCTCATCAGAATTTGTTAATAACACACGTCATCATATCCTCTTGCTTCAGAAGGACTTCAGCTGGTGGTTTGGGTTTCACAACTCCTCTCCAACAATAGGTGACAGATTAAATCACAGATTAGAAAAGAAAGCTTATGTACAGGTAGATTGATGGTGGCTGAGAACCTGTGGCTATACAAGAGTTAAACATCTGAACTCTTCACTCCTCTCTGTGCTCTCTCCAAGTAATACTTGCTATTTTACTTACGTGCCACATGAAAGCATTTGGCTTCTCAATAAATTAGTTTCTTCATGTTATTATTGTAATATCTACAGGTCTGTTCTTTGTTCTTCATTTTTCTTCCCAGCAGGAGCCTGATGCTGTTGCATTTACAAATGGATGTGGATATTGCTGAATCAAACACCTTTCCCCTGTCTCTGCTCTCTGTGCATTTATGTTCCACCTACATCTGCATGTATTATTCCTCCAATTAAGTCTCTCCCAAAGAAATGCGTGACTACTTATTTCAGCTGCATACTTGGCTGCTTCCCAATGCCCTCTTTCTTTGCTCTAGTCATCAGAAACTTCCCTGTCCTCAAATTCCTTTCTCTGTGGTCTTACTCACACTCCCAATACAACCAGTTTTGCTGTGCTAGTGTCTGTCTCAGCGCTGGCATCGTTGGACCTCGTCTGACCTCCTGCATTAAAGGAGCAGTGTTAGCTCCAGACAGTCAGACATGAGAACTATGTAGAGGCTTTCCCAGTTCTCCTGGAGAGCCCAAAGGCCTTGTCATCATGATGACAAATATACTCACACTGGAGGGGTTTGTTGAGGGCTGTGCCTCTCTCTGTTGCAACAATGAATGGGACAACCTCAGGCTGTTGCCCAAAATCTTAAGTATTCTGTAGAAATACCCTCTAATTCTAATTCAGTAGTTGTAGGGTCTTGGGAGATTTTGGGAAAAGAATTCAGGGCCTATTTGTTCTGCCCAGGAGGTATGAAACCTGGCATTCTCTCCAGTTCTTGTGTTCACAACCTGTGAAACCTCGGGCAAGGCTTATAACCTGACTCCCCTTCGTTCTCCCCTCCAGCAAAGCAGAAGGGAGGAGTTTCCTCCTGCAGAGAGGTGGAAGGTCCCAGGACGTGGCGCAGGAGAGCAGGTCTGTTAGGAGGGCTGGAGGGTCAGCCTCTAACAGCAGAGCCAGCCTCGGGGGTGGGGGGAGGAGAGGGCCTTTACACAGCTGTGGTGTCCTTCACACTGCTGCAGATTCAGGTTTATGTAAAGTCTTTAAGAGTGGCAGAAGGAAAGTTGCCACTGCAGGTGTGGGTTTTCCCCATGGGTGCATCTCAGCTGGCAATGGGAGTACAATAGTCTTGGCAAGAGCTAGAGGATGGAAGGTCTGTGTGACTCCTTTTGAGCAGAAGGGCAGCACAGGGGGAGGGTCAGAGCCCTCGTGTCCCCACAGGTCAGCTCAGTCTTGCTCAGGAGCACTGATATGAGCCATCCAGGGGGAAGTTAGAAAGAGAAGCCCAGTGTCTCTTTGAAGATCCAGGTATCTGATAGCTAAGGTTAATGATAAATTGTTAGCATAGAATTACACAGGGTGTTGCACAGCAGTATCTGACCCAGATGTAAATTAACTTGCACAAGAGAGGCATTGAAACTATACCTGCAATAATATACCCTGATATGATTCTGTTATCATCCTCCATCTGCTCTTATGCTGCCTCATGTCTTCTCAGCAAGTATTCTGTGGTAGTAGACAGCAGTGCAGGGGCTAGACAGAGCACCATCTAATAGCTGAATTTATCAGCACGTTCTATGAAACCAAAGTCAAGCCTAATCTAAATTCACATCCACTTTTGTTGGTAGTGCTGACGTGTTCCGTATATTTAGGGCTCAAATTCATTTAGTTAAAATGTCAAGAGCTCTGTGTCCGCTTTTGTGGAACACGTGAGTTTCCTGTATTAAATTCCTCAGACTTTAGCAAGTTCATCTCTGCCTTAAAATGTTGAATAACTGATGTCAGTGCTGGCTTCTTCCTTTAGGTGGAGCGAAAGATGAAGGCGATGATGCTCAGGACCTCCGGAGAACAGAGTCAGACAGCATTTTAAAGAAGGTATGCCTTGATTTGTGTGTCTGCCACCACTGAGCTCAGATTTCAGGAGTGACAGCTCTAGCCTTAAAAAAATGCCTGAAAATTTCTTGACAATTAGATACATCCTAATAAGTTAAAAATAAAATAAAATGTAAAATACTCAAAACCATTGACTTGAAAACCACTGCCATTCAGTTGTACTCCTTAATGGCACAGGTTGGCTACCATCTGTCTGCATTAAATTTGTTTAATTCTGCATTGTTATTGAAATTCTAAGGTCAGCTACAACCTTGCACCTTTTCTTTCTGGGGATCGATCCATCACATAACTGCAAAATAATACCTAATTAACATTTTATTCTAAATGATTCTAAATGGCCTAAAAACATGCATGAATTCTCCCAAAATGGAAGGTGGAGGGGAGTGTTTAATGGATGTGTCATTAGTTCAGCTTCAGAAGACATTTGCTATGATTTTTCATTGTCCTCATATTAAATTTCTGATCTTGTCATAGGGTGGAAATGCTAATTTGATGTTCATGCTGAAAAGGGATAACGAGGTAAGAATTGATTCCATTGCTCAGCTGTTCCCTTCATTTAAGTGGCTAGAGAATTTGTCTCAATAGGTGATAATGTAGAAGAAAACACATTTAATTTGCTGAAGCACATCTAGACTTTTAAATACATTAAGCTGAACCCACTGTGTCATTTATTTGTTTAACCTTGGATGTTTAGACAGAGAATTCACTGATTGTCATCTGCTTACCAGCAAGATGATATGTGCTGATTATAAGCAGCAAGGGTTAATTACCACCAGGATGCACAGGGCTGTATTTATTGTGCATCTGCAGACAGAGAGAGTTTAATTTTATGTTGCAGGTGCAGTGAATTGGGGCAATTAGGTTTCTATTCTCCCTTTGATACACATTCATAACTCCCAATTAGCATTAATGACAAAATGAGAAGCAGTTCTTAATACTGGCTATCACTCCACTACTGCAAATACTGAAGTGCTCTTTTTTCTTCTTGAAATTAATTGTAGGTTATGAGAGATTCAGAGAAATTTTTAGCTAGGCTAAATTTAGGGATAGAGCATAACTCTAGAGTTGCTTGCTCTGTATTCAGCAACACACCATTCATGAGGTGTTTGCATTTCTGTATTTTCAGAAAGCCTCCAAGAACACACCTTCTGCACTTGTGTTGCCTGCTGTAGTGCAGCTTTTCTGCCTGGTGGCAGTGGGTCTTGTATGGGTCAGCTGAGGGAGAAGGGTACAAATAGTCCACATCTATTTAAAGACTGAGTTATTTTTTTCCTGAAATTTTTAAGTGAACTTCTGGGCTTCATCTCAATTATTCAGCTTGTTCTTGAGCAAGCTGATGTTATGGGAAATGGTTTGCAGAGGCAAACCAGGACTTCCCATGAGCTCAATGTTCCTTCTCCTGCTGCAGTGACAGCTAGGGAAGGGAGGAAGGTGATGCCAGGCACTTCTTGGAGATGTTCAAGGGATCTGTTGGTGTACTGGGGACTGATGCACTCATTGCAAGGGAAGAGTGAGGAAAAGCAGGGTGCAGAGTGATGGCTGTGCAGCTTGTCAGACCCACTGGTGGGACACAGCAAGAGAAGGTGCTGTCCACATACCCAGCACCCAGTGAGATCTAACAGCAACGCTTCTGTTTTCTTGCAGCAGGTCCTCCAAACCATCACCAGCCTCCATAAGCTGCTCACTGCTTTGCAGGTAGGCTTAGCCCTTCATCCTGCTCCCACACACTGCTTGCCTGAGCTGCTTGTTGTTCTTTGCCCCTTGTGTCACAGCCCTGCATGGCTGGACACCCCACAACCAGCTTGCAGGCTCAGGGAATGAGCTGCTGCCCAAGGGAACCAGTACTGGCCTGAATTTGGGAAGCTGCTGAGGGAGTTGCTTTGCCAGTGTTTTGCAGAGATAATCAAAACTCCACAACTCTTGTGAAAGTTGTACAGCCAATATGTTTATTACAGCGCTGGACGCATGTGGGAATCATTCCCCTAAAATGACATGCATCCTTCTGGGGACTTCAGGTCCCTTTTTATCCCCCTCTCAAATACATATGCACACAATTTCACCATAGGTTCATACATGTTCATTCTTACAAATTTTGCGTGACATTTGTCACTAGTTCTTCTTTATCAGAAAGAATTCCTAGGTCAGGCTGACCTGCTCTCACAGCAGTCTCTGTCTTTCTCTGTCACCTTCTGTCTCCCTCACCTTATCTCTGTCCTTCACTGAAGCAGTTTCCCTGAGCCTAGGTTCTGCAGTCAGGCTAAATAGCTATGTTTTCTAACCATAGAATCAATTTTAAAATGTGCATTTCACCTAAACCAAAATGGATTTCTACCCTGGAAAATTTCTACTCTGCTTCATTAGCATGCTCTGGTAACCAGGCAGCAGTGCTGGGCTGGGATCAGAAGAGGTTCACTGCAGCACCCTGGGGTTTTCAGGGATGGGAGAGGATGCTGCAGTGATCTCTGTCCCCTCTGCCAGGGCGTGGTGCTGCAGCAGGACACCTACATCGAGGACCAGAAGCTGGCTCTGAGCGAGAGGGCTCCGAGCCGAGGCTCCTCCCGGCCCACCTCGCTGCTGGAGCAGGAGAAGCAGCGCAGCCTGGAGAAGCAGCGCCAGGAGCTGGCCAACCTGAAGAAGCAGCAGACGCAGCACCAGGAGGAGAGGAGGAGGAGGGAGAAGGAGTGGGAAGTGCGTGAGAAGGAGCTGGCGGAGCGCGAGGCCGAGCTGGCGCAGCGCGAGGAGCAGCTGCAGAGACAGAGGCAGGAGCTGGAGCGCGAGCGGGAGGAGCTGCAGGTGAAGAAGGCGGCCTACCAGCTCGACCTGGAGAGGCTGCGCGCCGCCCAGAAGCAGCTGGAGAGGGAGAAGGTGCAGCTGAAGCAGGACGTGGAGAGATTTGCTCAGATGCGGCAGGAGCCTGACCACAACCAGGTAAATGATGCTGGCAGCCAGGCTCCTTGGGAAGCTAGGAACAGGGAGCTCCAGCCAACTCCTGGGTGAACTGCATGCTCCTCACAGCTGCCAGGTCTTTTGAGTAGAATCCTCCTAGAAATGGTGTTCCTATTAGAGGGAGGTTGCTGATGGTGAGGCATGCGGTGGTTGTGGGTAGTAGTTTTTGGAGTCCTCCTATTTTTTTGATATCTTGTTCACCATTTAGGCTGTGAATGATGGAGCCTTAGCATAGGAAGAGCGTGGCTTTGAGGAATGCATGGGTTAAGATGTGAAGGAAGGCTGGTTTGGGGAGGTTTAGTCCAGCAGTGTTTAAAACTGGCTTTTCCTTCACATAGGATGTGCAGTGCTGCTGGTTTTGCACCTCTGGAGCTGCTGAGGCATTGCCAGTTTTGGTGTTTCATGGTGTATTGGGGGTGCCTGGCCAGTGAGCTCTGCCCACTTCCCTGTCTGTGTATTGGGGGATGGCAGACAGGAGGTGGCAGGCAGTCCCAGGGCGTTGACACTGCCTGATGTTGGCCTTCACCCAGGGGCTGAGCTCTGGGGAGCACTCAGTCCTTCACAGAAACACCCTGAGTGTTGTGGGTCACCTGCAGCCTCCAGCTGTCACAAAAACCACTTGTGAAGCTGATAACTCCAGGGCAAGTTCACATGCTGACATCCATCCCCAAAAGCATTCTCAATATCCAGCAAAGAGATGGCATTGCTGTGTCCTGAAAGACCAAGCACCTGCAGTCCAGTTGTGGCTCAGTGAACAAAGGTCCCCAGCTCTGCTGAAAGAGGCTTCTGGTGACTGACTGTTCACAAGCACAAAGAAAAACTCACACACAGATCCTGGTTTGGATCTGTGAGGTTTATTCCTTTACAACTGTGCAGCAGTCTGACTGAGGAGAGCCAGCACCACTGGCAAAACATGGACTGAATTTAATCCTTGAGCCTGTTGATCATTTGTTTGCAAGTCACTAATTCTGACTGTAGTTTGCTTAGAGCTGTAGCAGAGCTAGTTTATAAATGTTGGATTGCAGAATGGGAATGATTTTCGATGCCTGAATGGCCTAATTGTGGAGCTGAGCAGTGAGCTCTGAAAAGCTCATCACCAAAGCAGGTCCTGCTCCCTCCCACCTGGCTCCTGATCAAGCCAGAAGTTTTCCAAGCAGCCAGTGAAGCTGTTCCAGCTCCAAGCACTTGCAGACAAGGGGCATGGGTGCTGTGAGAGAAGCTGAGAAGTAAAATGCCTGCAAGGCCTGAGAGATTTAGGAGAAGGAAGCACCTTCTCAAAGCAGGTATCTGACTGACATTGCAGAGCTATTAATAGAGTGTTCAGTCAAGCTTTGTTGGGCTTGTTTTGATCTTCTCTTTGAATGTGCAAGCTCAATTACATTCTGAGACAGCCGTTAGGGGAAAAAAAATCAGGAAAAATGCTTTTGCTTTCATCTTTTGCTTGGGAAGGCTTTCTTTGACACATGGGGCTGCTGTGCCGTGTGCTGGCGTTCCCTTCCCAGAGAGGCACGCTGCTCCTTGGCCTCCTGCCACCATCTGTGTGTGCAAACCATGCAGGGTGAGTCTTGCTATTGAGATCTTAGAGAATATTTGCCCTTGGCTTGTTGATACATAGCAGAATGCATGTAGGAGCAAAAGATAGTGGAGTGTTACTCTTTTCGTGTCTCATATTTTCATCTTGAACAGAGAGGGCTTTTCTCTCTTTACTTTGCCTGGATGGGAAGGTTGTTTTACCTGGTGAATGGGCTGGATGTTCACCCCTGAGTGGTCTGGAACACTCCTTTTCTATCCTGTTTCATGAAACACTTTTTCTTCCTAGGTTTCAAATCTACATGAGAAACTTGCCAGAGTCTCCTCCCAGTCCAGCATTGACGAGTCCTCTATGCAGAAGAACCCTTCCCTTCCTAAACAAGGGCACTTTGATGCAGAACTGTCTGTCTCCCCCAAAAGGAACAGTCTTTCAAGGACACACAAAGAGAAAAGCACTTTCCATTTGCTTAGCACAACAAACCAGACTAACAAGGCAGCTGAGGAGCAGACCCAGATGCCTACTCGCCTCTTCAGTTTAGCCAAACCAAAGGAGAAGAAGGAAAAGAAGAAGAAGGGCAGGGGACATCGCTCCCAGCAGTCTGGTGAGTGTCAGGGGAGCTCACAGGTGTTTGTTCAGGGTTGGTAAGCTGGCTGTTTTCCTGCAGCCAGTGAACTTTTGTGGAGGCCACAAAATCTGGCTTGAAATGAGGATGATGACACAGGGATGGGGAAGAGCAGCTGTGTTGAGTGGATTTCTCAGCCTGAAGTGATCTTCTGTGGATGTTTCTGCCTGTTCTGCAGCCCCTGGGGTTGTCAGAGGGACGCACATTCTTCTCATTGTTTCTACCCTTCCCATCCCATCCTGAGCAGCCTCCATGGGCTGGATTCTCTGCAATACTCTGCTTCAGTGTCTGTGCTTTCAGAAGGAGCTGCTGCTGGGATGCTCTTGGCTCTTGCAGCTCCTGAGGCATTGATGTCTGCTTTAGCTCTGTGGCAGTTTGGAAATTATATCCACAAGCCTTGTGCTGGCCTCTCCCCTCAAGCTGGTCTGTTTTGTCTCTTGATCTGAAACAAAAACATACAGGGTTTTTGTTTGGTTTTTTTTTGGTTTTTTTTTTTGGTCTGATAGTTTTGCATCCCCTTAGGACTCAGAGGTGCACCTCAAACCTCTGACCCACATGAAATTTGATCACATGCCCTCGGATGACCGCTTTCATTCATGCTAGCTCACTGATGTTTTCCAGCTTGTGCACAGGAAATCTCACCCATTACAAGGTGTAATTTCATGGTAGCTCAACAGGGACCTGAACATCTTTTAAGGGGCCTGGTGGATTTGGCAGACAGTGGGATGTCTGTGCACACAGAGCCCCACTCTGCCTGCTGTGTCCCTCTGTTCCCATAGTGATTCCCACATGCTGTTTTTACAGATTCTCACTCGTCAGAAGCACCTGCAGAGGGTGAGGAGATCTTCTGCTGAGCATGGACTGTTCCAGTGGTGGCACTGGCACCGTGGACATCTCCCTGCCTGTGACACAGCCCATGGCTGGTGCCTGCACTGGATGAGCATCTGGAGGTTTTAAACAAAGAAAACAGTTCTGAAGTCTGCTAAGTGGTGGATAAGGGCCTCTCTCCTGTGGTTCTAGGTGAATTCTCCCTGCAGAGGCTGTGCATCTCCCTGTGCAAACCTGGGGTCAAACGGATTGGGATAGATGTTTTCTGTCTCTTCTTACTGCTAAAGGATGAGAAAACATAGCCTTAAGGGGTCTGTGCCTTCAAATTCCCCTTTTCTGGGGAAAAGAACCAAAACCAAGCATTTAGCAAAAGATTAGGACTCTACAAATGGTGCGTACACACTGGCATATATAGATATCCTGTATATGTACATCTATGAATCCACTGGGATATGCTTACAGTCCCTACAGCCAAGGTCCACCCGTGGGCATGGATGATACCTGAGGACTTTCAGGGATGTGTAGATATTAAATATCTTGCCTTTACTGCTCCTGCTGTAACACAGTGACCTGCACACCCCTTTTGTGCTGATGGGACAGGGGATGTTTGGTTTCAGAAGTGTGCATTACACCAGGAAGCAGTAACAGCATTCAGAAGCAACAACTCAGAGGATAAAAATTAAAATTTAAAATCATTCTGAATGGGGCAGAGGAATCAAATGTCAAACTGTTTCTAGAGTCAAGCAGAACATTATTGGGTAGATTTAAAATGCCTCAGAAAAGAGCATTTTGGTAGGCTGGTAAGGCAGTCCCAGGAGCCAGAACAGGCTGTTCAAATGGAAACAACAGTAAGCAACATTTTTTTTTACACAATCTGTTTGAGCTCCAGCTCACTCCCTCCCATCCCCAAAGTAAAGATTATGTTTTTGCCAGAATAGAGCTCTCCAGTTGCATTTGACATCCCCATACAAGGCTAATGACTGAGGGAGGGGGTGGCTAAAAATCTGCTTTTATGGATCTTTGTTCAGTTCTTTGTGTTTTTCTTAGCCTGCTTTTTGTGCTGCTGTTGAGCTTCTGTGTGTCTGGATTTTCCCACTTGCCCTGCTGGTTTCTGAGGCAGAGTGAAAGCAGCAGTGTCTGAGCAGGTCAGTGAGACAGGGCAGGCTCCTGGGAGGTGGCTCCTGTCCCTGTGGCTGTGCAATACCGGGCACTTGGGAACCATTTCTGGGGAGAAAAAGGCTCTGATGGACAAACGCCCTGTGGGACAGGTCTGGAGGCCAGCGTGGTGTGTCCCCATGGACTCTGGGGTGGTGTCTGTGCAGCACAGGAAGGTCCAAGGGCAGCTCTTGCTGTGCCAGCTGTGGGGTGTCTGCAGAGTTGAGGAATATAGGCATGTGTTCAGTGGGGGAGGAGAAATGCAACAAGATATTCTTTTCTCAAAAATCACCTTTCTTCCAAACCCTGTCAGGAGAATTACCCAAGTGGATTTGTAAATGGTTACCAGCTTCAAAATAGGTCAAGGTTTTGCTCAAGAGTTTGAAGCTGTCATGTACATTTCCTATCCTACTAGTTTGTTATTTTTTTTCTTTGAAATGACAAATAATTTCTCTTCTTGTACTATTGTTTGATTTCAGTTTGCTCTCAGGCTTGTCATGAGCTGGTGACCCACAGCAATTTTCAGAGTTAGTGCTGATGAGTATCAGCAGCATTGATGGTGAGGTGGATGCTTGGGCTGGGCTGTCTTGGTGCAGGAACCCTGCTTGTTTGGAAGCTCTCTACACTATTAAAACTCAAAAGAAAAAGAGAAAAAAAATAGAAAGGAAAAAGGGTTGAGATTTATTTTTATTTTGGTTTTTTTTTTTAACTCTTATTTGGTGCTTGTTCTTAATTGCAAGCAGGGCTTGCAAAAATATTTATCTTTCATTTTATCTGAAAGAGTTTTTTTTAAAAGTTTACTTGGTTTTATTTTTTTATTTCTTTTTGCTTTTGTTTGGGGAATAGTTTGAGGGTTTTTTTCTCTTTCCCCCCCTTTTTTTTTTTTTGTTTGTTTATCTGTTCTGTTTTCTTACCAAAAGATTGGTAAACCAAACATTCTCATCTCCCTGTTTCCTACAAACCATGGGGCTGGGCAGTGCTGCATTGCAGCTCATTCCATGCCCAAAATCACACAATTTTCAGCTGAGAGCTTTCTTCAAGGCAGAGCATCTTCAGGCCAAAAAAAGTCTGGAAGAAGACAACAATGACTTCAGACGAGGCTACTCCTGTCAGTCAGTTTCCATGTTGAAACGTTTTGGTTAGGTTTTCTCATTCCCTTTGGAGGCAAAGGAAAAAGCAAAGCATAGAGTGCCTTGCAGTGTAATTGCTCTCCAGGACCTGAGGGGTGCTGAAGGAGGCACATGCTGGTGGTGTGGAGTTACCTTTTTCATAAGAAAACCACCAACTTCACAAAGTAACTTCTGCCCTGCTGTTGATACATCTGCAAACACGAATGGGCTGAGATGAAATATCTGGAAACCAAAGCTCATATGCTGTTGTGTGAGCAGAGATCAGGGCACTGGTACCTCTGAGTTCCCTCAGTCTGGGACAGCCTTTGCCACTATGAACTTCTCAGTTTATCCCTCTGTCTTTTCCCCAGTCCCAGCACATGCTGTATTCACAGCACAGCAGTGTCCCATGGCTCTGAGAAGGGCACCAAAAAGCAGATGAGTGACCCAGGGCAGCAGGGTTGACTCTGCCTGGCTTCACCATCTCTCCTGACCTGTGCAAATCAAAAAGAGCATTCAGTGCCTGAAGTGCCAATACTATTGGCTAAGTGATCTCCCAAGGTCCCTGTGGTTCCTTGACAGAAACCACAGGTGTGAGTCAGAAACACACTGACCAGAAATCCTGTGTACAAAGCTGTTTGTGTCTTAAATTCTGGTGGACAGACCTTTGTCCCTGGAGGATGGCTGTTACTCTATGATTCACTTTTTTGGAATGAAGCCTCTCCTCCCACACTGCTTCCTCCTTCTTTCACCTTTAGGAAGGTAAGGGCTTGTTTTTATCTCTTTAGCCTTTTATTTTTCCCATCTCAGTTTTTCTTTGGAAAGCCTTGGCATAGATTCCCAGAGTCAGATTGCTGCTCTGATCCCTGAAGGTTGTCTAGCATTGTCTGCTAGAGTATTGTCCCAGCTTGACAGCACCTAAACCTTTCCTCTTCCTGGCCTTAAAATTGCATTTGCTCCAGTTCCATGCCTGGCATCCATCCTGCAGTTGTTGAAAGCATGTTATTTCTACAGCCCAACCTGCTGCCAGTCCCTAGATCCCATTTGGAGCACCCAAACCATCTTGTTTTGCATGAGGTTCCTGGACTCAGAGTAGGTTCAAAAACATATGTTTGAAGCCTGTGTTGTTGGAGGAGAAGAGGATCCTGTGAGGGCTCTTGGAGCTGTTTGTGCTGATGTTTTTTGGAGGGCAGAAATCAGATTTGGTTTTCTTGGGCTTTTCTCGGCCTGGTCTTTGCCACTGCCCAACAGGAGGGGTTTCAGTGTCCAGGGAAAGTGAGAGTGTGGGCTCAGACAGGTTCAGGAGTGGCCAGCATTAGCTGGGGGTGCCAGAACACCCAGCAGCAGAGAGTAGCTGTAGCAAAGGGTGGGAGACTCCATGGGGCTGGGTGAGCTTGGCCTTAGATTCTTTTAAATGATCATCTCAACACATAACTTGATGTCAGTTTGATGCCATAAAGCACTTTAATGGAACTGGTCTTGCCCCCTTTAATTATGGTTATTTGAAGACAATCAGTTTTGCCATTGCTTCCTCCTCTGTATCCCCAGCAAAATCAGAGCTTCAAGTAGGCGTGTTCCTGGTTTGGTTTGGCTTTTCCCCCAGAGGGGAGGAAGGGCCAAGCTTTTTGTATTATTTTTAGACCAAAGTGGGTGTGAACTGTCTAATCTACAGTCCCACTGCAGATAGGTTAAGTGGCAGGACAAGAGAACTGGCTTCTGTTGGCTCAGGTACATCCCCCAGGAGAGCTTCACCATCACCTTCCTCAGGGCAGGTAGGGAAGCAGCCCCCACAGTGGTTTTCCCTCCATCTCCTTTTCCTTGGAGAAACTCAGAGTGAAGGAGATGTGAGGGGATGCATCCAAATAAGTGAGGCCCTTTCCATGCACCAAGGTGTTTACTGTCCACTGTTCACCTCCCTGGGACAGGAGCTGCCATCCCCACTGAGGGTGGACTCTTCCTTCCCTCTGGAGGTGTGGCAGCACAGTGATGCCATCCGTTTGTGTGGGTTTGCATCCAGAGTCCAATCACCTCTGCACCTTCCCTTGAGTCACTAGGAGACATCACAGCTGTTGCTGAAACACCCAATTCCAGTCCTTCCACATGCCACCTAGTCAGAAGAGGTTCTTCAGGTGCCAAATCCCAAGGAAGCTGTCTAGGATATCTATGGCATGGAGCAAGGGAGGACTGGGCAGGGGACACAGGAGAGTATCTGCTAAAATCCCACCAAACATTCCTTGTTAACCAGAACTCTGGAAATTATTGTGCCTGCTGGCCAGGTTTGGGAATTTATCATGATTTAGGGCACCCCTTTAAATAAAAAACCTCCCCTGCTGCTCATAACTCTTGCCTCATTTGTCAGAAGGGGCAGCAATCCACAATTCTTCATTGGTGATACAGCTAATTTTTAAATATAGGCGAGCTGAACTGGCCAAATCTCCTACACCTTGTGCTCTTCAGTCATGCGAAGTGTAACACCACCTCCCTTCACACCTGCATTTCCAGGGCTCTGTGCCCTTTCCTTCCACATGCATTTCACTGACACTGATGCTTTGCCCAAATATAGTTCAGCTTCCATTGCTAGGGGGGAGGGGGGAACAGGATAACACTCACTGCTTTGCATACAGCTATGAGCTTTGTATGTATTTAAGCTGTCTATAGGTATCCATCCTTTCCATGCTGTAAAGTAATGCTACTATTTTCTTTATCAATATTAAACACTGCCTCAAGAAAAAAATGAAATAAAAATCTCTGTCCAGTTCAGTTCGCCTATGGTTAAAGTTTAGCCTGGTGTTTATTTTGTACTAATATGGAATGCACTTGAGTAATTCCCAGAACATTGAGGTGTATTGTAATAACCTGATATACCTCTGTTTTTGGTTTGTTTCTTATTAAAAAAAAAGGAAAAAAAAAAAGCTTTGCGTTTTCATGTTGAACCTGTAAAGAAAAAAAGTTGGGAAAAAAGGATTTTTAAACAAGAGGGTGAAACCTAATTGCTGTATGTTAATTTGTAATTATGTAAAAAGTGAGCAGATTGTTGACTGTAAAATTCTTCAGTTTTTCTGTAACTTGCCAGAACCAACAAAGTTTTGTAACAAGCTTTTATTTATCTTCCTTTTTAGTTATCAGTATCAACCTCTTGTAAAGTCATTCTTCCTCTAAATAAATTTGATTTTAAGTCATGAGTTTTCTGCCTGATTTATTCCCACACCTCTGGTATTTTTGCTGATGACGTTTTTGCACCAAGGCTGAATGAAGAGCCTTAACCTCCACCTGTAATCAAATGTTTGTGTTGCCTTTATCCTCCCCATTCCAGTTTGAACCCACTGGACTCTTTATTTTCCTTCCCTTACAAGATTTGGATTTTACTGAAGGCCAGATGGCTCTGTAATATTCCTTGGGTTTTCCTCCTCCCCACACACAGAAGGGGAGGTGGCACCGAGTTCCTGTAAGCCCCTAACACACAGCTCAGTGTCTTTAATAAATCCTAGAGACAGAAGGTTTTGGTTCTTTTGGCTTAGAGAACCAGAGATGCTGCATCTCATCACAGGACAGGGCCCAGGATGCTGTGTGGTTTAGGTGTTCCCTTGTCTCCTGCAAGAAGAGACCCATCAGAAATGCTGTTCCCAGCATCCAGCTCTCCCCTGGGGAGGTGTTGTAAGGAAGAAAAGTCTTCCCTGTGAGGGTGGTGAGGCACCTGGAGCAGGTGCCCAGAGAAGCTGAGGATGCCCCAGCACTGCAAGTGTTCAAGGCCAGGTCAGACATGGCTTGGAGCAACCTGGTCTAGTGGAAAATTCCTTGCCTGTGGCAGGGGTGGTGGAAAAATGATCTTTTAAGTTCCCTTCCAACCCAAAGTATTCTGTGATTCCATGATAAGGTACATGGTGTTCCCAGTGCCTGCAGGCATGGGTCCAGGCAGGAGAGGGTGCCAGAAGTACAGAACCATGACAATGAGGAGTCATGGAGGACCTCAGTGGGGTTTCCCCAAAACCATTTTCTGCTGGATCATAGAAGTGATCACTGCTGGCCCTGTCCTGCCAGTCCTGCACAGGAGGAACTCCAGCATCCTCTCCCCTGGCAGGAGAAGCAGCAGACCTGCACCCTTCACCCCCATGTATTGATTTTGAGGCAGAGGAATTGCTTCATTTCCATTTGTTACTCCATTTCAAAGGTATGATTGGGAAGGAGAAAATACCACTTGAGGAGAATCAGAAATATATTCATAGAATCAGGATAACCTGAGTTGGAAGGAACTCACTAAAAGCACCAAGTTTGACTGGGAAGGAGAAAGGACTGCTTGAGGAGAATCAGAAATGGATTCATGAAATCTGAGTTGGAAGGGACCCACAAAAAGCTGCTGAGCAGGCACAAGACAGCCCCAAGTATCAAGTATTGATCAAAGCTCTGGGCTGCCAGCTGCTTGGGGTGTTGTGCTGTTCCTCAGCAGGTGTCAGGGCACGCCAGCCCCGTTAGGCAGCAGTGCACTCCCTGCCTGGTATTTCCCCCTGCTCTCAGCTGTGTTGCACATGCTGTTCTGAAAGCCTGACTCAGGTCAGTGTACCTGGAGCTACACCCTGTCACGCAGCACTTGCTCCAAGACAGGCAACCCCTGGGTGTGAGACAGGAGATGAAAGAGTTCGTTTATCTCCAGTCCTGCTTTTATTTGCATTCCCAGGCATCCCAGCTCACCTATTTACTGAAGTTGAATAAAAGCCTTCGCCCGAACTGTCGGCTCCTGGGTATAGCTTTTAAAAAGCACGTTTTCCTGTGGCCCCTCTTGGCTCTGCAGCCTGGATGTCTGACAAAAGCACCCCTTGGGGCACCCCTTTGCATTGCTGCAGTAAAACAACAGCTGCTGCAGCTGCTGGGAATGGGAGATGCTGCTCTGATAGAACAGGCATTGGTCACAGGAGATGGGACAGCACGTTTACTGATCACAAAACACATGGAGAAAATCAAATCCTTTCTGAATCAATCTCCTGCCAGGCAAAGGCTGGGATGCAGAGCTAACCAGGCAGCCTGGTCCTGCACAGTGCACTCCAAACCCCCCTGTTTCCACTGGCCAGGGGAAGTCTGGGCAGACAATACAAATTGCCTTTGGCAGAGGAGGAAGCAAAGGGCCCTGCTGCTCCAGGACACCTCCATATATTAATCTGACTGTCCTTAACCAGCTTTCCACAGTTTCATATGCTCAAAATTTCCATGCTCTGAGCCATTACAGCTAAGACAATGAAATGGATATTCTCTCCAGACCACAGGGATTAATCAATTTAGATGGTCCCAAGAAAGAGTGATGGGTTTCTGAGCATCCCAACTTTCTTGCCCAGCCTTTCCTTGGCACCCAAATTTAGAGCAAAATATCTCTTTGGCTTTGTTGGATGTGGTTGTTTTTTCACTGGCTCATTGACTAAAAGGGATCATACAGGATCCTTAGAATGGGATGAGCCTCTAAAAGGAGCATTGGCAGGCACAGGAGAGGCTCTTTGGAAATTTGGTTTAGTGATACCTTACACATTTGCATTTCCCCTTCCCTGCCCTTGCTGGGTTCAGTCCTGGCACTGCCTTGAGGGAGAGAAACTGGAGGTCTGGGAGGACACAGGTGCAAGCTAGGCTGGGGCTTGCAGACAGGCCACTCATTCATGGAGGGTTTATTAAGAGAAGGAAAGGCAAAACCCTAATTAGTGCAGTGAGTGAGTGAGATGCCTTGTGATCAGATACAAGGTGAATGGTAAAGTAATGACTTACCTTTGCCATTGAAGGCACCTGGGGCTTGTTAATTTGCTACAGGAATGTTAAATATGGCAAATATCTTGATTTTTAGGAGGTTGAATAATGTAAAAATCAAGTAGAAAATAATATTTGACACTTGCAACTGATATGAGCACCCCCAGCTCTCTCAGGGATGGGCAGACAGTGGGTGTTCTTGTGTCTCCCCTAAAGCTGCCTTCACACCTCTTGAATCTGCCCCAAACCAGGCTTTGCTCTCCTGCCTGTATTCCAAGGATGCCCAAGGGTTCCCAAGGGATGCTTAAGGGTTCCCAAGGATTCCCAAGGGTGCAGGTTCAGGTTGGGCTCCCCCAGCCCCACTCTCCCTGCACTCTGGAGCTGCTCTCTGTGCCAGTACAGAGGGCATTTGTTTCCAGTCCCTTTGTGGCCCATCCCTTGCACAGATGCAGCTCAGCTGACAATTCCCAATCCCCCCTGCCCTCTCCCCACAGCCTGGCGTCTCTCCCTCCGGCGTCTCCAGATGCTCTTTCTTTCCCTTCTCCTTTCACCAAAGGGCTGCTTCTCACCAGCCACATCTTCCCAGCGAGCCTAATTAGACAGGAGCCTAATTAGAGCCGAGCGGGAGGGGTGAGTCATTAGCGGAGCCCTGTGGGAAGGCCGGGAGCAGCCGCGATCCAGGCGGGGCGGCGGCGTGGGCTGAGGGGCCGCAGGCAGCGGGAGCTCTGCTGGGTGCTGGGAAGCAGCCACGGGGAAGCAGCTCCTGTTTGTGTGTGCGTGTGTAATTCCTCCAGACATGACCCAGAAATGGAGGGAAGGCTGTTTACCCTCCTCCCTGCACCTGCCGGGGAGCTGAGCAGGCCCCAGTGCTGCTGGGCAGGCCTCAGGGCAAGGGGGTGGCCGTCCATCCCACCCAGCCAGGGAAGGCAGAAAGCAAAAGGGCTTTTCCTGGTGGCCCTTAGGCTTTTTTCTCCTTGTTTGGTTTCTACTCATCCCTTTTAACAACCAGCTATGCCCATGATGGAGTGCAGCCAGCATCCTGGGGACTGGCTGCCTGCTGGGGCTGCAGGGAGAAGGAGCCTTGCTACGATAGAAAACAAGAGTGATGGCAGCAGAAAAAGGCAGAATTAAAATGTTTGTTTGGGATAAACCCACAGGACTGGGGATAGGTATGATGCCAGGAATGAGAGACAGGTCTTTCTATCAGTCATTAAATCACATTCTGGCTGTGAGTACTTCTTCACAAGCACAAGTTGTGCCATCCTGGCCTGGTCAGGGCACTGTGCTCCCCAGCCTCTGCTGGGAAAGGAGAGCTTCCCAGGAGAGACAGAACTGAAAACCCACAAATTATTTGATTCCTGAGCTCTGTAGTCCTCAGAGACTGTCAGGAAGAATGAAAGGACAGGTTGAGTAGCCAGGATCACTCTTCTTGAACCCTTCCCCCAAATTCATTTGGTGGGGGACACACAAACACAGAGGGCGCCCTGTCTGTGAGCGGCAGCCCTCAGGGGTGCAGCCTGTGCTGGGGAGAGGGAAGTGAGATGTCCAGGCACTGACAGCATGAAAGCCAGGCTTTTTCCACCTAATTGGATCTGTTATTCAGCTGAGAAACACTGAATGGATTGGGTGGGCTCCGAGCTCGCAGTTCCAGTGAGGAAGTCGGGACGTTGTGGCAAAGTAGGTCACAGTGCTGCAAACCAGGGTGATGGCTCTGCACAACAGCCAAGGATGTTAAATAAGGAGGTGGTGAAATGCAAAGAAAAGGGAGACTGTGAGGAAGGAAGAATAAATGAGCTCAGCCTTGGCTATTCATTCCCACTGGGAGTGAGTGCCTGCTGCTGGCTCCCACCTTGGGCCCCCAGCACTGCTGCCTGTGCCTGCAGGGCGCAGGGATCCTGTTCTGCACTGCAGCAAGAGGGACTGGGCCCTGTTTAAACTCCCTGTTGGTTGTGGGGAGGTGCAGGCAAGGGTTTCTCCAGCTCTTGCAAGCTTAACTCAAACACTGCTTACAGAGCAGCATTTCCATGCATGGCATTTTGTGAGCCTGGACCATCTTCAGAGATTAAAACCTTGTTTAGTTTACCCTAAGGGAAAGGGTGCAGGGGAAACAGGAAAACAATTCCAGGTGGGATATATTGCAAGGACAATGTGCAATGCTGGGGCATTGATTAACGTGCAGAAGATGACAAGCCATGGACACGAGGAGTTAGTGCTCTGTATGGACATGGAGGAATTTGAAAATTTGTTGGATAGCTGGAAAAAAGTGCTCCTCTTCTCCAATTATGTGTTCAAATACCAGAGTCAGCCTCTGGATGGATGTGGGGCTCCCTCAGACACCAGAGTTATTAAATCACCAGCTACTCTGCTTTTAATTGACTCTCATGACAAAGGGAGTGGGCTCAGATGATAATTCCCTGCAGGGCTTCATTGCAAAGCAGTATTATTTCAAGGGCAGCTGGGG